TCTCTCCCACTCCCTTCCTCTCTGAAATCAATAAACATATATTTTTTAAAAAAGGAAAAAAAAATTATGGTACATGGTAAATTCACAAAATGGAATACTTTACTGCCCTTAACAATAATATTATAGAAGTTGTAAAATTTTCCAAGATATTTTACATGAAATAAGAAGTCTGCTCATTTTGAGCTTATGTTTATAAAAATATATGACATATATTGAAACAAAAATAAACCAATAGAAACACATAAAAAATCCCTCACATATATAAAATGCATATTTGTTTATCCTTGTGTTTGGATATTGTAATATGAGGGTATATGCTTGGAGCTACCATGACAATAAAGTGAATTATTGCCACAATTCCGAGAATGACAGAGCAGAAAGACGGAATGTCCTTGATAACATTCTTGAGTTTCTGAACCAACCTTGAACATCTATCTGATCTTCTTGAGTTTTGATATAATAAATTTCTTATTAAAAAATGATCTCCACAATGCTGAATAAAGCCAGCTATGAAAACTAATGTGAGATTTCAATTTCATTTACAGGCAACTTTAGGATCCCTATAGAATATTTAAGAATTCTTTGCAGGACTCCACCAAGATGGCGGCATAGGTAAACACCGATTCTTTGCATAATATTTCCCCAATGAGACCAAGTTCAGATGCAGTAATCTGAGAATCAACTTACCCTTAGTTTTCTTTGAGTCATGGCTGTTTCTAGGGCCATTTCTCTTAAAGGATCCCTGGTGATGTCAAGCATGGAAGCTTTGATTGTATCCCCTGGATACAGGCTCAACCGAGACTGTCTAAGGGCCATTCTAGCTTGGAGTTGCATCATTTCTTCTTCTTGCCGTTTTAGCATAATCTCTTGATTAATTAAGTTGCCTTCAAGGGGTGTTTCATATTGTCTGCTTTATAAAAAAGTGGAGAAAAGTAAGGATGGGGAAGAAAAGAATTATTTTAAGTCTAATCAATAAAAACCATGTTAGCTTGGCTGGTGTGGCTCAGTGATTGAGCTTCAACTCATAAACCAGGAAGTCACTGGTTTGATCCCAGTGAGGGCACATGCCCGGTTGCGGCCTTGATGGCAGCCAATCTATGTTTCTCTTTCATTGATGTTCCTCTCTATCATTCTCCCTTCCTCTCTGTAAAAATCAATAAAACCTATTAAAAAAATAAAAACCATGTTAAATAAAGAAATCAAGAATTTAAACAAATTTTATATTTGTCATCTCAGAAGAATCCTTGCAGTTCTACTTTTTTTCAATCCTCACCAGAGGATATTTTTCCATTGATTTTTAGAGAGAGTGGAAGGGAAGGGGAGAGGTAGAGAGAGAGAAACATTGATGTGAGAGAGACACATCGATTGGTTGCCTCCTGCATGTGCCCCAACTAGGGCAGGGGATAGAACCTGCAACCAATGAGGGCTCAGTTCTACTTTTAATGTGCTGATATAATATGCTGTCCCACTTTCTGTGGGTATATCTATTTTCTCCACCTCTCCTCTGAACATGTAGCATCCTATGAAAACTGCTTCTCCTAGAAATCTCTCAGATTGGGGCTGTTTTATCCTTTAAAAAAAATTTTTTTAAATTCATTTTTTAGAGAGAGAAGAAGGGAAAGGGAGAGAGAAACATCAAAGAGAAAAACATCCATTGATTGCTTCCTGCACGCTAGTGAGCCCGCAAGCCAGGCATGTGCCCTGATAGGGAATTGAACCAGCGACCTCTCGGTTCATAGGACAATGCTCAGCCAACTGAGCTGTTTTACACTTACAGTCCTGAAAACCTGGGCCTGGTGATGGGATTGAGATTCTTCTTAATACTAATTTCAGCTTCCAGATGATTGGTCACCCTCCTCCATTAAGCCCCAGGTTCCTTGAAGTACATGCTATGAAATCATACCATCCACAGCTCTGCTTTGCTCTAGACATTTATTGTCCCTACTAGAGGCCAGCTGCAGCGTCCCTTCCCGTGGTGGTTGCCTGTAGCTGGCCGGGGCTTCCCTTCCTGGTTGGCCGGCTGGCCCCGCCCCCTGGTCAAACCCCCAGTCAAGGGGACAATTTGAAAATTAGGCTTTTATTATATAGAACTAGAGGCTTGGTGCAAGAAATTTGTGCACCCAGGGGGTCTCTCAGCCTGGCCTGCACCCTCTTGCAGTCCAGGAGCCCTCGGGGGATGTCCAACTGGGGGGAGCGGGCCTAAGCCATCAGTCAGACATCCTTAGTGCTGCTGCGGAGGTGGGAGAGGCTCCTGCCAATGCCGCTGTGCTCGCCAGCCATGAGCCCAGCTTCTGGCTGAGTAGTGCTACCCCTATGGGATTGGGCCAAAACCAGCTCTCTGAAATCCCCCGAGGAGTCCAGGATTGCGACAGGGCGCAGGCCAGGCCAAGGGACTCCACTGGTGCAAGATCAAGGCCTGGGAGAAACGTGGGAGGTTGGCCAGCCGGGGAGAGACTGCAGGAGGGCTCCAGGGCATGTCCAGCCCCTCTCGCTCAGTCCCGATTGGCAGGACCCCAGCAGCAAGCTAACCTACCAGTTAGAGCGTCTGCCCCCTGGTGGTCAGTGCATGTCATAGTGACTGGTTGACCAGTAAACTGTCTGCTCCCTGGTGGTCAGTGCATATCATAGCGAGCAGTTCAGCTGCCTTAGCATATCATTAGCATATTATGCTTTGATTGGTTGAAGGGCCAACTGGTTGACTGGACACTTAGCATATTAGGCTTCCAGTAGGGGGCGTACAAGAGGCAACCAATCTATGTTTCTCTTTCATTGATGTTTCTCTCTATCATTCTCCCTTCCTCTCTGTAAAAATCAATAAAACCTATTAAAAAAATAAAAACCATGTTAAATAAAGAAATCAAGAATTTAAACAAATTTTATATTTGTCATCTCAGAAGAATCCTTGCAGTTCTACTTTTTTTCAATCCTCACCAGAGGATATTTTTCCATTGATTTTTAGAGAGAGTGGGAGGGAAGGGGAGAGGTAGAGAGAGAGAAACATCGATGTGAGAGAGACACATCGATTGGTTGCCTCCAATTGATGTCCCTTACATTGATGCCCCCCCACCTCTCTCTACCTCTCTCCCACCTTCTACTCTATCTAAAGTAATGGAAAAACATCCACAGGTGAGGATTAAAAAAAAAAAGCCCAACTCAGTCTTTTTCTTCACCTCTACTTCTGTCATCATTCATGGTGGGTATGTATACATCATTCATAGTGGGTTTGTATCCAACACTCTGGCCTCCTCCACTGCCACCAGCAATCTACTCTTATGGCCATACTGGCTATTAACAATAACCACGCCACCTCTAAAATTTCCTATTTCTATCCTCCAATACCATCTCTATATAATCTCATTTTTTCTAGTTCACTTCCTCTAATAGTTTTCTTCAAATAATTAATTGATTCTATTAGGAATTTTAATCCATTCACTCCATCACTTTCTCTCTGGCTATCACCCTTCTCTTGCCAATGTATTGCTTGAAATCTAAGCCCATCATTAAAATCACTCCTTTGCATAAACCTGAACTCTCGTGAAACTGCAGAACCATGCTGACTAATCTCACCTGGCTCTCAAGCACTGCCTGGCAACTTATTTTTTTTAAAAATATATTTTTATTGATTTTTTACAGAGAGGAAGGGAGAGAGATAGAGAGTTAGAAACATCGATGAGAGAGAAACATCGATCAGCTGCCTCCTGCACATCTCCTACTGGGGATGTGCCCGCAACCCAGGTACATGCCCTTGACCGGAATCGAACCTGGGACCTTTCAGTCCGCAGGCCGACGCTCTATCCACTGAGCCAAACCCCTGGTTGGCTGGCTGGCCCTGCCCCCTGGTCAAACTCCCAGTCGAGGGGACAATTTGAAAATTAGGCTTTTATTATATAGAACTAGAGGCCCGGTGCACGAAATTTGTGCACTCAGGGGGTCTCTCAGCCCAGCCTGCACCCTCTTGCAGTCCAGGAGCCCTCGGGCCTAAGCCATCAGTCAGACATCCTTAGTGCTGCTGCGGAGGTGGGAGAGGCTCCTGCCAACGCCGCTGTGCTCGCCAGCCATGACTCCAGCTTCTGGCTGAGTAGTGCTACCCCTATGGGATTGGGCCAAAACCAGCTCTCTGAAATCCCCCGAGGAGTCCAGGATTTCGACAGGGCGCAGGCCAGGCCAAGGGACTCCACTGGTGCAAGATCAAGGCCTGGGAGAAACGTGGGAGGTTGGCCAGCCGGGGAGAGACTGCAGGAGGGCTCCAGGGCATGTCCAGCCCCTCTCGCTCAGTCCCGATTGGCAGGACCCCAGCAGCAAGCTAACCTACCAGTTAGAGCGTCTGCCCCCTGGTGGTCAGTGCATGTCATAGCGACTGGTTCTACTCTTATGGTCATACTGGCTATTAACAATAACCACGTCACCTCTAAAATTTCCTATTTCTATCCTCCAATACCATCTCTATATAATCTCATTTTTTCTAGCTCACTTCCTCTAATAGTCTTCTTCAAATAATTAATTGATTCTATTAGGGATTTTAATCCATTTACTCCATCACTTTCTCTCTGGCTATCACCCTTCTCTTGCCAATGTATTGCTTGAAATCTAAGCCCATCATTAAAATCACTCCTTTGCATAAACCTGAACTCCCGTGAAACTGCAGAACCATGCTGACTAATCTCACCTGGCTCTCAAGCACTGCCTGGCAACTCATTTTCTTAAGAGAACTATCTATACTAATAAAAGGGTAATATGCTAATTAGACTGGACGTCTTCCGGACATCCATGTGGATGTCCTTCTGGACAAAGCCACGGTGGTGGGGGCTGAGGTAGAGGCAGTTAGGGATGACCAGCCCAGCAGGGGAGGGTAGTTAGGGGCGATCAGGCTGGCAGGGGAGAGCAGTTAGGGGGATCAGGCTGGCAGAGGTGAAGTTAGGGGGATCAGGCAGGCAGGCAGAAAGGTTAGGGGCAATCATGCTGACAGGCAGGTGAGCAGTTAGGAGTCAGCAGTCCTGGATTGCAAGTCAGACATCCCCTGAGGGGTCCTGGATTGGAGAGGGTGTAGGCCGGGCTGAGGGACCGC